TGATTGGCAAGACATCTGCTGGTGTCGGTTCCATTGAGTGCCAGGCCCAAGATAGAGGGTTCAGCTCATGGAGATAGGCCAGGAAATTGAAAACAGAATCCTGTGGCAGGTTGGATAGCGGCATGTCCGGGTGGTGTGCAATCTGAGTCAACGAATCATGGAACCATTTCAATTTGACTTCAGGATCGAATGGAATCATTGATTTCATATCATGCCTGGGGGAATGAATCAGGGCTTGAGCAGCCTCCGGGGTCCAGCTAGACGTATTCTCAGGGACTGACAGTCCAGGGCACCAACGATGCTGAGTCTGGTTCCGGGCATCAGACATGCTCTTGGTTTCCTGAAAGCAGGACGAATCAAGTGGCTTACCGAAATGTTGATGGCTCGTCCAGGTGCACAAGAGGACAGGACAAAATGCTCGCGGGAAATGGGTGCGAAGAGCAATTTCCATGGAAAAAGAGGCATGGCAATGATTGCAGGCTAAATGCCCCGGATGCATATCGATTTGTGGCTCAAATGAAAAACCATCTGGGCGGTGAATATCATGAAACTTGCGCAAGTGGCTAACCAAGGCTTTACGGCCTACAGATTCTTTGCACAAGGGACAGGTGTACATCCGAGCCGGGACTGGACATGGACCATCAGGTCGACAGGCAAGCATGTGTTTCACCGTGATTCTGGGAATTCTGTGCTCCGGACGTGTCGGAGGTAGCGCACCTGAAACCTCAGCGCATTCATCGGAGGCATGCTGAGGGAATTTGGCATGGTGTACAATCAATCCAATTTCAGTCAGGAATGTGGTATGGCAGGCTTGACATCGAAACAATGGTGTTGGTTTCGGTGCAGGGTTCGAAGCAACAAGCTCTGTGTTCGGGACTGGAGATTCAAGGTCCTGTTCAGGCTGTACGGAAGACCCTGGATTCGGCGGGGTTGGATCATGACCGCCTGTGTCAACGGCCTCAGAGTCCGGATTCCAGGGACGAATCATGGTGGGCATCACCGGAAAGTGCGAAGCATTGTATGTTTGGCCCAACAACGTGCTGATCTGTAGCAATACGCCACATTGGTGCTGACGAATGTCATTACTCTTCTGCTCACAAAAAATGCAAGCGCCACGACCGCTGCCCAGGTTTACTAAACCATATACACTATCCATATGGACCGCTTCGAAAGCAAGAAGACCCTGATGTTGTTCACTGTAATGTTTACGAATGGATCGAGCCGGAATTGCCTGATGGCAGTAAGCACAGTGGTGCGCCAGCTCACTGATCAACGGCTTGTCCAGGAGCAAACCCGGGATGGATTTGTAGCGGAAATGCATTCTCAATGAAGGTCTGGCAGCAATTGGTACGATGCTGTCCTTAGAGCGATCGAAGGATTCAGTCAAGCATTTCTGTTGTCTGTCAGGGAATTGCCATGGAGGTTCCAATTGCATACGGGCGTAAAACGCCATAGTAGGCTCCCTAGTGAGGTGCACAGGAGATCTGGCCATGGTGCGGTGATATTTGTGAATCATGCCAATAATGCTCTGAAAATTCCGGTTGGTGATACCTATTTCATGAATTCCATACGACATCGTAGGCAATACACATTGATTGTAGAGGCGATTGATTGTAGAGGCGAATCCTAACATGAAACGGATGATGCCGATCTAAGAGCCACTTCCTCAAAATCCGAAATTAAACATTGGCAGAATTGATGCGACGATGAACAGTGTCATGATCGAATGCGTGATAGCTCAAGACAATGCCTAAGGTAGTCTGTTTTACCAATTAGAGGCAGTGTCATATTCGTGTCAGGCAAATTCAACCTGAGTCCTTCTTTTAATCTTGTCGTCCATCTTTTCAGAAACGCCTAAGCGGATTTTCCCATTAGGCGTATAATGGTAACACTTTTGGTCAAGTTCACTCGAAACTAATATACCTTCAGCGCGGACAGAACAAAGGCCAATTCATGGAGACTTTCATATCCCATGGATAGGTTATGAATGATCCATCTCAGGTAGATGTCATCAGTATAGATGATTATGTAAAAGATTATCCAAGACATATTATGATGGGCCAAAAAGTCAAGGATGATCAAATATATGCTCAAAGTCCAAAGCATTGGGGCGTCCCTGCTTAATATCACGCGATGTTGTGAATCTGCCAAGAAAATTCCTTGTATGGAATGCAATATTAATATGTTTGAAGTCATGAATAGATTAGCTTACGAATATTGGGATCAAGGTCATACAGTGCAAGGGCACGAATGTCAAATTAATAATCAATGGCATCGAAAGCTTTCTCCAAATCAAGAAACATTTGAATTCCATTCCAAAAATCATTAACCGTAAAATCTCTATGATATTTTTTATATAGTGATTTAACCGGCCAACAATAATCAAAGACAATCAATAAACAATCCTTAGTGCGATAATTAAATAAATATGCAAATAAGGGTATAATTCGGACTCGGAGAAATGCGCCCTACATAATCTATGTGCAATATATATTAATTATAATTTTATTAATATAAGACGTAATACCGTCGGATTATTCGTAGTCTTATTAAATCTACTAAACAAATACAATCAACCAATAAACCATCATTCAAGAAAAATGTCCTACAAAACCCGCCGTATACATCAATATTTATATCTTCCTCTAAACCTATTTGCGGCGCAATCTATGAATATTACAATATCAATTACATATTCTATTGGTCAATATATTAATAACATAATTATAAGAAAAAAATATCTATATTTAATTTCATCCTTTTGTTATATCCAATCATGTATTTATATATAATATATATAATAATATATATATATATAAATTGCCAAATTTTATATAAATCCTATCGTAAAATTAATTATTCCGATAAAAAATGGAAAATATTATATCGTTAATTTAAATAATACAATATATTATATATTATTAGTATAACAAAATATTTTAAGAATAAAATATACAGGTGCAATCGCAAGATGCAAACAATAGATTGAAACCCAACACGCTTCTTTCTGGGAGCGTTCACGAACAACAAAGCAAAACCTCTAGAATAAAATAGAATAAGCTTCAACTTGCCCGAAGCCAAGGCGGTGTCAAATTCAGCAAGCCCGTTCCGAAATCGAAAAAAGGGGCGGGGCTGTTTGCTTGCACTGCAGCAGCTAGCAAGAACCCAAGTGAGTACAGTGAAGTGACCAGAGTCGACCTCCAAAGCAGCAGTCAAGTCGCAATGACTCCCGGAGCACGTCGTCTGAGTCTCAATGAAAGATGATGGAAGGTTCCGAGGTGACCCAGCCAGGTGTGTCTCAAGCAGAAGCCACTCCTCTCTCTTGCTCAGAAAGCTCTTTGACCAAGTGCCCCGACCGACACCAACCGAGTTCAACGATGCATAACAAGCAGACTTCGCAAAGCCACTGAGCCAGTCCATCCCGATCGAAAAGGCAAAAGGCCTTCGCAATCGGAAAACGCATCCTCTTTCTTCCCTTCAAGCCCTCAGCTCTTTTTGTCCTGGACTTGCGATTTTGCGACGTTAATCTCAGTCTGTAGAAATGTTTGAGTAAAACGTGTGAAAACCTGACAGTGAAGCTATTGTTGAAGCTCACGTGTCCAGAATGGAGAGATGGCCAAGGAATCCGGGAATCCCACACCAACAAATGAGCTCAATAAACGGAGCTGATCTCGACAAATGATTGTCAAATCAGTGCTAAATAGATGCAACATTATAATCGTTTCAAGAAACTGATTCCCTTCTCCGGTCATTTCAAGACACCAGTCCGCAAGAACGGACGATCATGTCCTCATCCGTGGCCTCCCAAGGTCCCCAATCTGAAAGCAAAACAGCTGACGCGTGGTGAACGCAAGCAGTAGATGTGCTTTTTCAGTCAAATTCCGATGGAGGAGATTCTTGACGTATTCTGAGAGGTTAGTGTAATTAGTCACGATGCGAGGGATGGAACTTCCGTTGATCAAGAGGCACCATGCAGTGTCTGATCACGAGAAATGCGTCGTTGTCTTCACTCAAACAATGAGAAAAACATGCAACCGCTAAGACCATCCGCCCGACTCACTTAGACCAAGCGACTGATTCTTTTGTACCGGAACTTCATCTCTATTTCTTAGACCAGTCGAGTCCAATGAGCCACGTGTCACCGTCGAACACGGCCGACTCACGAGCATTGAGCATCGTCTTGTCGGAAAAAAACCAACGAGATGGTCATAGGAAACAGCGTCTGAGTCGAGATCGCGTCTGAGCGAATTCTCCCCGTTCGTCGCTTTGATGAGATGTGTTGTCCAAAAAAAAAGATACAGAACCCCTAGAAGTCCAAAGACTATATTTTGACCGGCTGAAGTAAAGGAAGTTCCCGAAATCAGTTCCCCGTTCGTCAGACCATTCTTTTTATAGTCTGACCGACTCCGAACTGTTCTGCTTTGATCCAGCGTCACGGATCTGGCGCGACGCTCGGGTCCAAAGAAGTGAAGATCATGTGTGCTGAGGTGTTTGAACGTTCATTCGGGTGAGTGTGTCCTGCGCAAATGTCCCGTCAGGTTTCCTCGTCAGGTTTTCCGAAGGAGAAACACTGTGAGCTCTTGTGGTTCCTTTGCCTTCATCACACATGGCAGGGGCTTGGAGCAACAAAAACAGCATTGGATTCTCAATTGAACCTGAAGATCAGCCCAAACAGGATCTAGCAGCCGAAAAAGAAATCCCCCAAGCAATCCGGATTCGCTCAATGAGTGGCTTGCTTTGGACTGAAGGAAAGACAACCTGTGGGACCTTTGAGACACAAAAGAAAACACCTAAGATCGCCTGAGGTCATCTGGCCTCTTTCGAACATATCGCCTGTCTTCTTGGACCTTCAAAGCAACACTAGGAACAAATTTGCACTTGTCTCCGCTGAAGGTTTGCTTCAGGGGGACTCCGAACTTCTCGTTCCAACAACACAGCCTGGGGCCGATGCAAGACAGGGACACATGGATAATTACGTTTCTGCATGACTCAAAGCTCGTTCAAGGGATGCCTTGAATCTCCATAGAACATCGCGACCGATATCTGAGGGTCTCAGAAAGGTCGCGCCGCCCATCACTGTCCTTCCACCTGGGAGGCAGCGTTCGACCTGCTAACGAATTGCTATAAACAAAACCGTTCAACCTCGGTGCCAAAGCTTCTCTTTTTGATTGGTCAAAACATGAACCTCGCGGTAATGGAGGAATCTGAAGATCGAAGAAACAGTAGATTCAAGGTGAAAGGTCAAGTTGTCCGGGCATCCAAGAGGCAGAACATGGTTTTTGGATTCGCGCCCATCAACTTCTAGTTACTATCTCAGGTATAGCTTGAAACAATCCTAGAAAGCCTCACTTTTGGGTTGCAGGGGGGTCTTCAGTCTGCCAACCGGTGCTGAACCGTCTCAAGAATAGTGATATATATATATATATACATATATATATAAGCTAATGTCGACACCGGATTAATCAACCCCCCCTTCAAGGTCAACAAGGTCTGGGATTGGATGGATTGGAGACCACATCCCCTTAATAAAGATGCTGACCTGATGATGGATGATGAGATGAGGACCTGGACCTGATGATGGGTGATGGTTGATGGGATGGTGTGGGAATCATAACAGTTTGAACCATGAGAACCATCAGCCTATTTGAAAGCCAAAGCCAAGATTGAGTTGGATGGGATTGGGGTATGCAGCAAGTGCAGGTATGCCAGTGGGTGTTTGGAACGCAATGTGTGGAAATGCACAGCCTATTGGATGAGGAGGGAGGGGAAGAGGCTGGGGAGGAAGATCCCATATGAGTATACATTGGCTACACAGATTGCTGCTAGGAAGGATGAGAAGAGCCAGCAAAAAGATCAGAATGATTGATGGATGAGAGGATCAGTATGGGAAAAGGGTTGATCAGAATGTTATCTCTCAAAGAGATGGCAAGGGTCGATCAGAAGATCAGTTTCACCATGGACCAAAAGATATTGGATACTGTTCAAAAAGAAAATAGAAACGTAGATTATAAAGCCAGTTATATTTTACTTTCTTCTGGTGGAGCTGGGCTTGATCAATAGGGGGAGGTTACTTAATCCTTTGTCAACATTAGTGTAGTTGCTGTATCGGCTCTCCATCCCACAGACAGCTGCCAGCTGCCAGTCCCACAACCAGCTTGCTTTCAACTGACGAGCCACCGTGGCACGTGCGAGAAAGCCCCACCTGCGGCTCTGGAGCCGATCTAGCAGTGTGGCACAAAAACCGAGTCAAAGCAATCCGAATCTTTGGCAAAAAGCAGAGGGGTTAGGTGGTGACATACCTTTCAGGTAGTCCGAGATGGCCTGTGGGAAAAGATTCTGAACTACAACATGTTTTGACGACTGTTGAGAAGCTAGGAAATTCAGTCTGCTCTAAGCTTGGAAAGCCAGGATTTTGAACATTGGCCAACAATCAAAGCACTGGAGGTCGTAGATTCTGTAGGGTGGGTAAGAAAAAAGAACGCAATGTCCCAGAACTCAACTCAGGAAACAAAAGCCTATGGCCTAGCCTATGGCCTATGTCAAATCTGTGTTGACCCAGCCAGCGAAGAAGTTTGCGCATCTCCGGCACAAAAATTGCCATTGTTGTTGCCAGGGGGTCGCAACATCCGCAGCATTCCACATCCGTCCGAAGGCCTTCCTGATTCGATTCGGACGGAGCTTCCAGGGTTTCGATTCTCACACCCATGGCCCATGGCACAAGAAACAACGGACAAACCAATAAATGAAACCAAAAAACGTTGGAGTGGAGGGTTCCAGGTCACAACAAGCCAAATACTGCTCGAGCTGAAAAACATGGCTCAAGGACTCCAAACCACCCACACATGTCGCGTCCCAAAGGGCTTCAATTAACTGGCAGGAATGGCCTCCACTCGTCTTGCAGGTCTGAAGAAGCCCCCCTGAGCTCCTGAGTTTCAGCGCCAACATCGGAAGAGATGCTGAATGGATTCAACTCTTCTTTTGTGCGCCATAAGGAATCGCCAGTGTTCCCACATTCACAATCAAAGTGTTCACCAACATTTTAGCCGCCCAACTGCACCCGCAAGTTGACGAGGGCGTATGGGTGATACAGCCATGCGCGGCCTATGATTCAAGTGAAATCCACATTCTATCGCTCTACATGGGCGGACCCGCGCTGTGGACGCTTTAGCCGGAACAATGAAACCACAAAAGCACCTGGCAGTCTTGATAAACCTCTCCTGATGACCACCTTCGCGGTCTGGGCTCCCAGCGCCATCATCGTCGCTGCTTCCTGGCAGTGACTCGGTGGACGATTAAACATCTCAATTCATGGATGGGCAAAAAATGAGTTAAGTGGTCCAAATCAACCGGATGAAACTGTCACTTGAAGTGATACTTGTGGAGGAAATTGACAATTAAAAAAAACATGGAGAACCAAAGCTCACTACTGTCTGAGGACAACCGAGCCATCTTGTAAGCCATTGTAAGCATGAGATCTGCAGAACTCTATGAACGAAGCGCAACGCAGCCAGGTCTGCCCACGCAGCTGACTTCTGGACACCTCCGCGAGGTTGGCCATGGAGCTTCTCAGGGGCAGGCTGAGGCACCTACCACGTCGCTGACTTAAGGAATTCCACTGGCGCCCAGTAGCACCCAATCCGAAACTCATAGGGGCCTTTCTTCTCAGCTTGATAGAAAATATGTCATCTGATCGTGTTCAATTTCATGGTGAGTGAACGTGAACCAACGTGGAAAGTGGCAGGCTATTTTGCCTTGTCCCGGATGAAAACCGTACAGAAAAAGACGTAAAGCAAGGTGCCATAAGGTGCCCGTGAAACCCCGTGGTCTCCTGGACAAACAAGTTTGGGGAGGTAGACTGAACCAAACACTCTGTGCCCATGAAGTTTCTGTTTGGGACCATGCGTCTGGCTGTCACTCCCAGAACCTATTTGCTGCGTTTCTCAACGCCGACCTGACATCACGAGCACTGGCGCTGGCTGAAGCTGCTTTGCAGCTTCGCAGCGCAGCGTTGCTTCGAACATGGCGATCACTTTGTCACCAAGGTAGACATTACGAGATTTGCCGCGCACAGACATAACGAAACCGGCGGCAGCCGGCGGCAGAAAAAGAATGCTCTCGCTGGTCCATGCGGCGAGGAATCAAACGGGTTCGTCTCCAACGGGAGACATTCAAACAAAAAATCTCCGACAGGATCCCACAGGTTCCCACGGCACCCTCCTTTCATATCCTCACAATATAGAGTATCACGTAAGGGTCAATCCCCAACAAAAAAGCACCCCGAAATGCCTTCACAGAAATTCCTCTTCACATGGCCAGCCACTCAAGCCTGCCAAGAAGCCACACCGTCGCAGTCACTCCTCCCACGCCCCACAGGTGGGCGCGGTGGGCGCGCTGGCTAGAACTGATCTGACCTCGACCCGCCCCCGCCCACAACGACCCCGTGGTCTCGTCACTCGATCGAGTCGAGTCGAGTCGATCAGCACTGTGGTCAGCCCTGAAGTCTTGGCCCTAAAGACCAGACCCTTTGAAGTCGAAAACCTCGACCTCTTAGCAGTGTTTACTTGGGAGCCGACCGCATAGATTGTAGTGTAGGAAATCCCCCAGAAATACCATGAAATACCATGAAATACCAAGTTGCATGGAAAGAAGATGGGGATATTGTTCAAGGACCCAGAATAGAGACTTGATAAGACACGAATTACACCAGAAAACAGTTTGAATCCAACAGGGTCCAGTAGCAAGGCCCATCCCCCAGACCTACATCCACAAACCATGTAGTGCCAATTCTTCACTCACCAAAAACCGAGCAATAAACCCTGCGAAAACCTACAAATTCACCAGAATTTCTCAGAATGCCCCCCTTCCACCTGCCATGCCAGGTCCAAAAACACACACAGAGACCTCTCTTCCCTCTCCTCTCTTCCAAGCTCCATTCATCCAAGTCACCGGTATTCGAGCCCGGCAGCGCCGCACAGAGCTGCTGCGACATCTCCGAGCGATAGCTGGGCAGCTGGATGGGGTCCACCAGGCGCGTGCCGCCGTGCTCGAAGAGCGACGGCAGCCTGAGCGCCGGCAGCTGGGCAAGGCGAGGTGCACGGAGGCGGAGGCGGAAACGGAGGCGAGGTGCGCGTTGGTGTTCTTTTACGGGACGGGGGGATGTACCGAAAGACGGTACATGGATACCAAAGATCGGAGGGGGCGACCTTCATTCCTTGTCACTTCAACTATAGTTACTATAGTTGACTTCGATATCACTTCCTATATAGGGGCTTTGGGTGACTGGTTTTGAGACGCTGAGGGCTCAAAAGCAGTACTGCCAAGCAGAAAAAACGCATCAAATTCACATGCTCAACAATGTCAGGAAACACAAAGCCAGAAATCCCGCCGTGCATCCCTCCTCCTGCATAAAAGCTCTGACCACAGCTCGAGCTGCCACTGGACTGTGAGAGTAAGCGCGAAGACGGGGTGCGCTTGAAACGCACAAAGAGTCTGGCATAGGTCCCCTTTGATGTGGCAGTGGGAGTCGCATTGATAGTCCGGTTTCCCAAGTTTTCGAGCTTGAACAAATCTTCTGAGGCTCGCTCAATGTAGACATCATCCCACAAAGTGTCAGACTCCCAAGCGCCCAAATAGACCTTGTTGCTCTGCAGCAAGCTACTCTGGATCTTCACGCACTGGTACCCCGCATCCCACTCTGCCCTGTTGCCACTAAACGAGCTGGTCGGACGATTGTGGCACGTCCCAAGGAAGCACCAGCCCGCATAGGGCTCGTCGGAGAAGGTGTCCAAGTTGCCGTCGGTCTCGAAGGCATAAATGTCCACACAAAGATCTTCATCGTCCACCTGATCATGGAAGGCATGACATGAATGTTGATCCCTCTGAGTGAATCACTTGGTCCTACCATGTTTTGTCACTTGTGGGAATCACTTTTCAAGGCGCACATGAACAGTTCCCTTTTGATCCACCTAAGATTGGGGCCTATAGTAGGCCTATAGCTCATCAAGCAAAACTAAAGGGGGGCAAGCATGGCTGTTCAGCCAGGCTTTCCCAAGGTTGATCCACCGACCTTTCGAGTCTGACTTGATGACGTCTACCACCCTTAGGCCCTAAACCCACCGAAGATGGCACCAGCTTCGGGCCCACTGCCCGCCTGGGACGAGGCGGCGATCGCCGTGGCCGCCACGGAGGTCGTCGCCCGTTGGGTGGAGTAGGCCACGTTGGCCTCAAGGCCTGGAGCTTCGGAAGGCTCGGGTGGAGGCGCCAGGGGAGTCGAACGTCGAAAGCGCCTGGTAGTTTGTGTTTTGTTCTTTCGTTCTTGCTTTCCAATGATGCTTCAAAGAACGGCATGGGAGTTCTTTCTCTTAGATAGCTTGGAAATAGCTAAGGCTCGCTTCTTGAAACGCAGCCACAGCGGAAACTGTCGGATGACTCAATGACCTCTACAAACCAAAGCGTAAATTCGATCAGCTAAATGTAAATTCTCTCCCTCAACCCCCCGTCTGTCCGCACGCTTACAGTGCATCCTTTGACGAAGGAATGCCAGTGCAAAGGTCCAAAAGAGGGTTCTATTCAAACCTAGCTCCGATCCCATCAACAGCCATCACTAACCCCAGCTGCGCCGAACAGAACAACTAAGGGCCAGGCAAGTTGAGGCATCCGACATCGATTCATCTCCAAAGTCCAATGACAACTGAGCACACGGAGCCAGCGACGCAGCTAAATCAGCGGAGAAGTCCGTCAAACTGGGCGTGGTGGTGGTGCCGTTATGGATGACTGAGCCCAGCGAGTAGTTGAATCCCGACCTGGCTCGGAAAAATCCATTCTCCTGAGTTAAAAGTTGCCTGTCGAGTGGGGGAATCATTCCCAGGTCATCAGGTATATGGGAATAGGAAAACAATAAAAGACACCAAAAGCCTCACCTAGACACTCTTTGGTCCATGCAACTTCAGCACCAGTCCACTCCAATGTACGCTGGTCTCTCAGGACACCATCCAGGCTACTTTGAAGACCGGCTTTGCCTTTCAGCGTATAGATGACATAAATCCCGATGTTCACAGTCCAGTCATTCACGCTGCTAATGAGCTTGCCAAACATGGGCATCGTAATGGCCGTGAACGTATCGATGAGATTCTCCGAACGAGGCCCCGTGAAGATGGTCGTCCACGTGTCTTCTGTGGCATTTGGGTCCAAGCTCGTCTCCACATCATCCAATCTCACCTGGCAATGTGGCTGGCTTAAAATGCTCAATGACTAAGTGACTAAGCCAGGAGACGCACAGATTTCAGGTTTTTCATGGTTTTTCCTCTCTACATCCCTCTACCATTTTTTTGGCCAATGGATTGGCCAGTTCCACCAGCAGCGGCACCCCACCTCGAGGTGGGATTGGAATTTGGCCGACAACCCAAAGGACAGGCGAGTCGGTTGGCCCTCGTCGTTGGTCTGCAGCTGGAAGGTGGGCGTGGCATTCAGGGTGACATAGCAGTTGGAACATTTCAAGGGCCCCAAAGAATAGCTTTGCGATGCCTGTTGACTGTCACAGTCATAGTTCAAGCCCCACTCAAAGTCTCCGCAGGAGGTCTGCAGCTGTCGACCATCCCGGGCCTCACCTCCCGCCGCTGCCGACCATCCCGGCTGCTCGAGCCGGCGCCACGAGACGCCCAGGTACACGTTGCGGAAGAGCTGCAGCGGGCTGACCGGCGCCACTCGGAAGACGCTGGACACAGGCGCTGCGTCGGCCACCTGCGCGTCGCTGCGCGGGCATCGCTGCGCGGGCGGGGAGAGAGCCCTTCAGAGAACCGGGAGGAAGAAGCCGCTGAGGCACTGGGGGAGTGGACTCCTGAGGTGCTTTAGGGTCGCCATAGGGTTGTCATCAGGTTGTCATCGTACCATGATATCTGTTTTTCCATCTAATACCAACCAACGGGAGATCCATGTCCTCTCCCTGTGTTGGAGCTTCAATTAAAGCCAAGCCCTGGCCTTTGTCAGGACTTTGACCCCGCAGGCAAAACTGTAATCACGGACCAGGTAAAGGGGATCTGTCCCAATCGTGAGTGAGTGAGTGAGTGAGGGAGGGAGGGAGGGAGTAGGTAGGTATCGATGTTCATAGGAAGAACAAGTCCAACCACTGCGCGCGTCTCCCGCCTGCAGGACACGCAAGAGTAAGCCTGTGCGCTGGGGCATGCCACTACGGCTTTTCGTAGAGTTCGAGATGTTGCATTGCCACTCCGGAGACCCACTGATGACCTCAGTCAGTCAGTTGCCAAACTTCAAAACCACTGGCAGCCGACAGAAAAAAACCGCACTAGTATGAGGTCCAAAAAAAGGCACATGTGAAGGTTCCACTGGTTTGCTACAAACCCACTTGGCAGTGGGTCAAAACCGAAAACCCATCAAAGCATGGTTTCGGTCGACAGAAGCTGTTCATTTGACCCGGGCTCAACAGCCCTCAGTTTTGACCCACGGCCACTTGGCAACGTCGCTCGCAGCGGTCGGCTCGGCCGCAATGGATCTGAGGTGAACACGGATGTGATGTGAAGTCACTCCATCAACTGCCCTCGAAACATGATATGTCGCAAGGGGTCCTATGTAGTTTGTGGCCGAACCAAGGGAGGTGGATGGTCCAAAGATCATCTCACTGGCGATTCCAAAGATGAATGGCTGAGTGAGAAGTCAAGATTCCAAAACTGGACATGTATTCTTGTCTTTCAGTTCTTGCGGAAAACACGGGCCTACTACACCCCACATGCTACCCACAGCCAAACAGCCGTAATCCAATATCGCTGGCCGAGTTGCAGCGTCTTTCTCTAGCTTGGCCGCATCCTTTGCCTTTGAAGTGTTCCAATAGATGCTGAGGCGACCGTCGGCGCACTGGATTGCCTCAACTCCGTTCTCCTCGGAGTCCAAGTTGAAGACTCGCTCCACAGTGGGAGTGCCAGCGAAGTCGTAGTGAAACTCATATCCTCCATCTTCCACCTAGCGAAAGCGCAGGTCGTTACCTTACCTTTAGGAGACGGAGCGTCGTTTCAACCAACCGAAACAACGGCGGCCCGATCGGTTGTCCCGGGATTTTCCGCCGGTGAAATGGTCCGACTTCATCTATCCAATCGATTTCGAAAGTGAAGTCGACATGGAATGATAGTGTTTTGCCTTGGCCCCAAAGCTACTACATTGAGCCTGTGACATCCATCCCTCCTGGCCTATGGCCTATATGGCCTATGAAGAGTCGAGCCTTCCTTTTTTTTGGAAGGTTGGGGAACCATAAGGGCATGATGCTTTGGCAGATTGGAGAACCTCTTCAGAATCCTCAAGACCACGCACCTTGCTGCACTCACACGATCTCACACCTGCTTTCCCCCTCAAAAAGTAATCAGCTCCGAACCTCACCTCGAAGTGCACGCGCTCGGGCAGATCCTCCTCCGCTTCCAGCCGACGCCCATTGCGCGGATGAAACAAAGCGGGGTCCGGGAAGGGCTTCACGAAGGAGCTCGGCCGCTTCGTGTAACCGAGGACACCTGTTCTGAAAGCAAATCTGGGGGCAAAACAGGTCAAGCCACGAAAGGATCGGAAGTTGATGAAAAGAACATCCATCAGTTTTGGGGGGCCAAAGGCAATCCGGTGCTCCAACGACAGGAACTTTGACCAGCAAAACTTTGAGCCCACCTGGAGCATTTGACGCGCTGCTTGCCAGTTGTAAGCAAACGCCCAACACAAATGTTGCAACCTTTGTCGTCTGGCTCATGGGCACCATGGTACCAAATGGCAGAGGTGGTCAAACAACACCTCTGCCCCAAACACTTGGCAGTCCTAATTTGATTGCTCAAGCTGCGCTGAGTGCGCGCTACAGATGAAACAACGACTGATCGCAGTTGGCCCAAAATCAAGTTTGTGCAACGCACCGTGCCTAAAGATGTTATGCCTAAACACAACAAGTACCCGTGAAACTCCTTGAAAATGCCTCGGAGGGCATCTGTTGGAGCGGACCCGGAAATCCCTGTTCAAGTTCACTTCTCTATCGCACCATCTGCGTGCTGCACTGCAATTTATGTTCCCTATAAACGGTGTATTCCAGGATTTTACCGCGCAACAGCACCATCGGCGCATTGCAAATGGTTCGATGAGATGAAAATTGATGTTGGTTTGGGCGCCTGGCTCACTTTCAACAGTCGGTCGCCATGTTTGTTGGAACAATGGTTGGAACAAAGAATAGCACTATGACTCTGAAGGCTCTTCTACATGGTTCTGCCGCGAAATGATGGTCCCACACATTCAAGTGTTTCTTTGTGGGAAGCATCCACCAGTGCAAAAGCTTTCCTGACTTGCACCGAGACAAATTTAGGTGGAAGATTGACAGCTCTTGAAACTGTTGCAAGGGAGGGCTCTCATGAGTTGGGCAATTTTTGGCTCAAGTATTTGGTCACAAATGACCGAGTTGCAGTACGGGTACGTTCCAGTCTTGCGGCTCACGCACTGCTTGGAGTACACATTTGACACAGAAAAACGAGCATTAAGAATCGCGTTTGCGTACGCCGGCTTTTGGACGCGTGAGTCGACGATATCGGTGACGCCAGATGGACGTCTTCCACAATGTGGATGCGCCGATCTGTGTCAACAGGAACCATCGACAGGCCGGATCAGGCCGGTTTGCCAGACTTGCTTGAGGTTTAGTTTCACTGTCGGGTATGACTCAGTATGAGCAATAAGACATGCCACTGCCACTCACACGCATACCATTTGTGCTCCGCCGCTCCCGGCCTCAAAATGAACGAGTACCTATTATAAAACGGACCCCAACTCATGTCGGAACCCCCATGTTTTTATATGCGCTTCTAAAGTACCGCCTTTTCTAAACAACCAACATGGCCGAACTTTTGTTGTTTTGAATTTGGTTCCCCAAAAAGTTCCTTCTTGACCTCCTCCTCCTCGTCGTCGTCGTAGTAGCAGGAGTAGTAGTAGTAGTAGTAGTTGTTGTTGTTGTTGTTGTTGTTGTTCTGGTAACCCTGGTAGTGGTAGTGGTAGTAGTAGCGCTGGCTCTCCAACCCTCCGCTGCCTGCCTCCTTCTCGTTTCTGCTGTCTGGCACGGGGCAGGTCGATATCCTCAGGTGCCCAAAACAAAATCAATGTTCATCTATGTTCATCTCATAAAACCATTTGCAATGCAGCGATGGCCACTCCGGGCAGATGCTGTTGCACGGTGGAATACACCGTTCATATAAGGAACAAAAAGGAACAAAGACCATGAGGAATATCAAAAGCGTAGCAGAGCATCACAATTAGTGAGGAAAGTGTAGCAAGTGCATGGGCCAACATGGACCGTGAACAATGTTGTCCGTTTCCCTCCATGCTCTGATTTACCCCGATTTTCCTCCCAGCCTCATGCTTTGAGAGCGTCATCACGAAGACACCGCTTGATCTGATGAACATCACCTGAGGAAATTCCTAAAGTAGCACTTTCACATAAGGATCGAGGTGTTCATCCAAAAGAGCTTCCCCCTTCGTTTTGGATCTTTGTCCTCGGTCCAAGTCAAACGCCAAACACCGATATCATTCAGCTATTCTCCAGTAACCTGGCGTGGATACGATGCACCGTATGGGCTCAGGCCATCAACCCCTGGGCATTGACCCGTCTACAACCTTCGCAAATACCCTTGAAGATTCCCTTGTTTTGAAACAAACTCACGCGAGTGCCACGGGACCTTGGGTTTTGCAGATTTTGGTAATTATCCTATTTTGGGCCAAGGAGGCCCTACCAATGAAACCATATCCACAGGGCGCTGTGATGAGACACATCAAACATCTTCCTTCCAGCACTGATCACACCCCCACAAAAGATTGCTACGTAATCAGTGATCTTCACAATATGATTATGGTTTTGCCAGGGCCCACATCCTCATCCGTATTCTCACAACTTTCAGCGATGACCATCTCCGATGGTATTCTCAAAAGAACAGAAAGGACCAAGTATGACCAAGTAAAAGACGTCCGTCCAAGCAAACGATGGTTTCTTAGGCCTTTTTTCACCTACAACACCTCCATCCTCAGCACCGCGCCCGAAACCACTCTGGGCACTCCGACCGCGGACCGCGGCCTGCCCTCCTCGGAAAACTTGGAATTGGGCAGTGGCGCTTTCTGTCTGCGTAAACTTCAGGCCAGGCAATGATTTCATGCGATTTCTTGATGATTTCTTGATTCACAATCGGAATCGTGCTTGTTCACTATTCCAACTATCTAAAGAAGGGTTTCACACCATGGTGTCACAGCCACAAGTGAGCGCCGCCGCCTCCGAATTTCCATCTCCACGAGCTCAGCGCGGTGCGTGAAGGGAGCTCCTGCCAGGGTGCGGAGAGCTTCCAGCCACCGGTGGAAGCTCGAATGCTCGGTGCGGGTTCGAGGATTTCAAGACATCCTTAGACTGTCTCGGCCAGGGTAAGCCGAGACAGTCGGAACTGTCCGGTGGGTGCGTGGTTCACGGAAAGAAAAAGGAACGTGACGACCTCCCAAGTTGCTCCACCCCCCCCGTGTGTCTGCTAGGTCAACACTAGCAGGTCAAAAGAAAGCGGGAACCCCCCACAGTCATCTTCCAAACAGGAGGCTAACTGTGGTTGCTAAATGTGTGAGCTGGACCTACTTGCTCTCCGAACTTATTACGAAAGTCGAAAAGTCGAAAAGCAAACGAAAAGGCAACGATGACAAAAAGAGTCACCCGCCAAAAGGTCCCGGAGCTTGCCGGGTCCTTTTGGCGGGCGTCTCTTTTTTGAAGGCGTTCCTGCTCGAGGCTGACTCATTTTGACTCGGCGGGAGATGTCCGGAAAACAGCAACCTATACCTATCTCTGTAGGAGCAAAAGCAACGTTTGGATCAATTCTGCTAGACTTTTGTTGAAGGGCACGGCATGTGACTGGTGTCCAAAAATCTCGAAATGTCAAAAAAAAGAGTCTCGAAAAGTAAAAAAAAAGTCTCGAAAAGTCAAAAAAGTCTCGCTGCGTGACCTTTTTGATGTTCTGACGTTTCTCACTTTTTGACTTTTTGCATTTTGCTTGGTGTCTTGCAAATAGACCGTCGCTAAAGGATTTAGCGAGCGTAGGCTTCCTGGATGGGCAGTTGGGCCAGACTCACGCAAATTCAAACTCTCACATGCCCAGATCAAAGGAAGAGACCGAGCCCAAGTTCGTGACGAGCTCCTGGATGGACGAGGTCATCTCTCGGAAGAACTCTCTTCCTTTTCAAACCTGCGACACAAGGCACGAATCTTTACTTGGGAAAGTCTAGTGAGCTCCGAAGTCTTGTGACAAACTGGAAGGCCAAAGGCAGAGGATGGGCTATGCACCTTTCTCATTTAGTCATACAAATCTTGATCAACGATGCCCTCACGGCCAACACCCTCCCTGCCTCCTCCAAGAAGGTTAAGCTCCCTCCTCGGATTGGCAAGCTGCGTCTCATGACAAAGACACCAAAGTTACGCGGCATTGCAAAAGTTTCTCTTATCTTAAGGACTTGGGCTGCATTTCGACCCCACCACTTCCAACAAGACGAAAATGGAATGATCGGATGAAGATTCTCTAATCACCTCCAGCTTCTCGCACGAGTCTCGCAAAAGAACATGTTTGCACTGGAATCGACAAAACCTTTGGCGGTTCGTTTACCCACGGCCTGAGGCGCCTGGCTGGGTCAAACGTTGGGGCAAGCTTTGTTCAGGGCATGTCTACATTTATTCAATCGTTCTGAAGAGCCGCAGTAAAGAAAGTTGCGAGAACACACTACAAATATCTACAAATGGTGTTGCCAACACTCGCCCATATAGAAACCGCACTTCTAAGCGAAGTGGACCTACAGTACAACCGCTTGACTGACGGGCATGTGACTTTCTATCCACCCACAAGGTCACTCACTGAGTCACTTTCCAGACTCTTCTCCATCACCCATTGGAGTTTTGCAGCTCGTGAACTGCTTTGAAGTGCTGTGAACTACTCCACATATCAACTTGCGAAAAATTTGTTTAGTCGGTCTAGCTGGCAATTGCCAGGTCTTTGAAGTCCTCTGACTCTATAGGTCGTATTCCACATCCCTTGCACACCAAGCACCCCCCAAGTATGCTTTGTTTGGCCCCTGAAGTGGTTTTGCCTGGTGCCCCCGAGTCACCAAGTAGGAACTCAGCCAGAACAAAAAAGCGGCGCAGAATTAGGTTGTCAGGAGTAAGCTTTCGACTTGGGACTTTCCTGGCAGCTCCTGACCTGGAACGAAAGAGAACGCCCAGGTAGTCAGCCCGGTACGTAGTAAATATAAGCCATTGTGGCACATGTGAGGAGTGTGGAATTACCGGCTGCCCAGTGCAGCACCCAGATTGCCAGCACCGTGAGCCGACGTCAAACACGCTCGTTCGTCTTCTCCGCTGAGATCACGGCATACTTCAACCGCTGTCGCAGCATCACCTCAGATCCGGCGTGTGGCTGTCGGAGCACTCACTGGGCGGTTTGAGACCTGACACCCAGACACTCTAAGTCCCGATGACTGGGACCGACAAACCTCCAAGTCCCGCACCGGACATTTGGTCCGCGCGAAAATTGGGATGGCTGAGCGGCTGTCTAATTGGCAGGCCAAGCCTCTCTTAACAAAAGGATCAACGATTCTTCAGACAAACACTTATTAGATCTTATTAGATGCTTGTTCCGAACACCAATTCTGCCCTGGCACGAGTTCACGATTCTCGATTCACCCGCCCCATCACTCCAGAGAACCGAAACGGTGACGTACGCGCTTACTTCGTCCGCGCTAAGCTAGCAACGGAGCAACGGTGACGTACGCGTCCCTCTCTCTCTCTTCATCGCGCCCTTTTTGTGGCTCCTTTGGTTCTTCAACCCAAGGGGCGATGAGAGGAAGACACTCCCGCAGCTTGTGGGGACCGGCATTGGGCTTGGGCGCCTCGGACGGGTAGCGCTGGCGGAGCCAACAACGAAAGCATGGGGCGACATGGGAATGGCGACAGGTTGGGTTTGGAAACCAAGGGTTGCCCGTCTGGTGACATGAGTTGTTTTGCTTGAGACATTCTGATAAGAGAAAGCCAGATGCATGCCACTGGCAATCGACCAATCTGTCTGTTTGTCTGTTGTGTGACTCCTGAAGGGCCCCTTGATCACGTCCGATTGGCATGGACGAGAAATGACACAAGTCAAGGAGATCCTTTGACACAATCTGGTCATACAAGAAGTACTACTACTCTCCCTGCAACATCCACTTCCATGTTAGTTCAACGGAGTGTACTCAATGAGGTTCTTCAGATCCAGGTTGCACTGGCGTCTTCCAAATGCCGGAACTCCCTCCACTTAGGTCGCCGGCCCATCGTCCGCGGAGCTTGTCCAGCATCCACTGCTTGGGCGCCTGGGTGGAGAAAAGTGTCCAATGGTTCTCCAAAACGGCGCGGTTTGGGATAGGAAGAAGTCATCCATCTGTGGAGATTTTTTTCCTGTTCATTGAAGTTTTGTAGACCTGGTCTCGAAGTTTTGCTCCACGCCACTCCATTGACCCCAAATCTTGCTCTGGCGCACCGTGGGTTATGTGGGTTAAGGACCTACATAATTAGAGTGGCGCATGGAGTCAAAGGCGTGTTTGCCCCGCCCCGAGATGACTTTGCATTGAGATGCAAAGGTAGAAGAAATACAAATACGTGTAAAGGTAGGATATGCAATTCTTCAGGATGTGCAGAGTGAGGGATATGCAATTCTTCAGGATATGCATCCTTTGGATGTGAAGGATATGCAATTCGTCCGGCGCCCCGGCATACATGCGCTTCAGGTGCTTGATGATACCGCGCGCCATGACCTTCCGAGCGATCGTAACCGGAAGCATCGAAGCGTATGGAGGGTTGTATATTATAGACATGGGTTTGGAACACACGGAATTATCACGTACAAAGGGTATACTGTACCTGGATATTCCAGCTGTGCAAAAGTCATCTATAAAACCAGCCAAAAGGCAGAAATGTTGCATGGTTGGAAGATCCAGGTTGTGAAGGCTTGTTCAGCCAGGTGCTATCAACAATCAGCCATTCTTTGCAATCCTGGTGGAGTTCTTCACAGATAGCAGCCTCTGCACCCTCGTCTGTCACACACGCTCAGTGCAGAAGACTGAAGAGTTTCCGCAATGGCGACAGTTACAGGAAGTTCCCTGTCGCTGTTCCTTTCTGAACAAGGATCTTTTTACCCTTTGCATGTCTTTTACCATTTGCATGTCTAAGTCTCTTCCCCTCCATTCCCCGAAAGACCGGGGCACTCATGGTCTTTAAGCAAACAGCACATTCAGCACATATTGGAAAATTCAATGAAAAACACTGTGTCACGTGTCTTTCTACGTGTCCAAAAATTGGATTCCGCGTTCGTGCATCCCAAAATCATAACTGGAAACCGCTTGCTGTCAACATTTGCAAAAACAACGAAATTGATCTGTGGTACACCGCTCTCCTCCGACCACTTTTAGCCCCAGGGTGAACTTCCGCACTGTGTCCCGTAACACCCACCTGCCCATCCCTGGACCATCCCAGGACCAGTTTCGCTCCCTTCTGCCGCCAGGCTGCTGGAAAGCTTGAATTTCAACAAGTTCCTCTTCCCTCAGTTCTTCCTCTCCAAAGCCCTGGAGCCAAAGGTTGCATCGCAGTCCCACAGACAGTTCACTCATTGCAATCCACCTGTGTAACAGCGACTCCGACAGCTGGCAATGAGACTCATAAGGGTGGTCGCATCCTCCAAACCTCCAATGAAGTCACTCAGAATGGTGGCAGCGATGGAAATGCTATGAAATAATGGAATGGTGAATATTTGGTGAAACACCCTTCTCTATATGGATGAGGTCCTGTGATTGAAATGCTACGAAATGCTGTGACCATGACCATGACCCTTCAATATATCACATCTTACCTACCATCAGTGGAGAAAATGGCATGACTGACTCTTTCAAAAAGAAACATATCACTCCTTTTTGGGAGACTTCCGTTAGTTCCCATGGTCCAACACATCACAAAGGTGGCCACTTGGCGCCAGAGGTGGCCTGCTTGGCTTGCTCATCGGGTGAATCTGAAGACGTGCTTACTGAGAACTACTGCAAAGGATTTTAACAAATCAGGATCTTTAGTATGGACAAGTGCTTATTGATTTCATGAAAAAAGGGAACTGATCACTTAGTCTTCCAACAAATCAGCACTCAAAGGAAGAGTTGGAAATTGAAATCCTAGACTTGGAAATTGAAATCCTAGACTTGGGCATGTATATATAACTATACAAATAATAAATATATATATATATATATCGCAAATGTGAGTTGAGCGCCGCTTAACGAGCTTTTGGCACTTCAGCCGCTCGACGCCTCTGGTCCAAATCGGCCATTGGGGCCTCTTGAGCCACTTAACTGTCCCGCGCTCATGCAAAATATCATTTCCGCATTCCGTGACGACACTTCCTGCGGTCCGTCACGACAGGTGTGTTCACTTTCGTGTTTCCACATCTTCACATTGGTAGTGGAGCCTCCCAAAGAGGAGGCTCCCGCAACGCGCCTACATGTCAGGCACTGGCTCTCCATCGCGGAGGGGAACCTCATCTTCCGCTGCAGCTGGTGCAACGGCGAATGGCGCCGGCGGTGGGCCTAAGGACTTCAAAAACAACTATACGCCGCGCTTCGAGAACTCGACCACCACCTACAAGGAATGGTGGCGCGGAGTACTGCTGTACCCAAGGAAGCTAGAACTTCAAGGTCGCAAGACCGAGGTTGCCCTGAACATCCTCTCCCCCTTGAGGGACCCAGCTGGACACAATGTGAGGACTTCGACCTCAGGAACTTGAGACGGAGGGCGGCCCGGAGGGCGGCCTGGACATCCTGCTCAAGAGATTGAACAAGCAATGGGCATTCGACGACAAGGTGGGCCAGGACTATCAGCAGCTCCACATCCCTCACCATCTCCGCTGGAAACGACCTCAGTCCATGCATATGGCATGGGACGAGGACGCAGCTGATGAAAAACCAGAACCCCATGGACCTCACCAGGCCCGAACCCAACAGCACCGCAAGCGTCAAGCGACCTTTTACGCGACACACAAACCAACGCAAGGTGCTTTACAGTGTGTGCATCTGTGCATGTCTAGCTTCTTTAAACTCCATCGCTCCATCCTCTTGAAGGTGAGCCGAAAACAAGTGCGGTTCGTCCGAAAACGACGTTCAAACAATTGCCGCAAGGCGAACGAACCTATTGTGGATTCCACTGGACCCAAAAGTCACCCTAGTGACGTCCAACCCTTCTAATTCCATCAAGATCATTGAGATCTCTTTCGTGCCACTTTTTTTTGCACGAGTGGAGGCGCTGTGTGTGCAGGTTCTGCACAAGTCACCTTAGTCGAGTTGAGATGGAGCTACAAACCAGGTTGCAACCAACAGGAAGAGACCCAGCAACAAAACCACCAAACAAGCAAACAAACAAACCCCCAAAAGCAACACCCGCAAACCACAGGGGCAACCTGTAAAGTAGCTCGTAAGGCCATGGAGGCATGAATCTAGGTGAAACAGGGGCGATGAATTCAGAAGTGCACTCAGTAGTTCTTGTCCATCAACGATTAGTCAAGCGGCAAATGACAACAATGTCCTGGCGCTGCAGCCTTGCCAAATTCGACCGCTTTGCGGACTTGGAGGATCATGTTATGGATCACCTCCTTTCCGTGACTGACCTCAAAGTGTTTGGGTGCTCGATCGAATGTTTGCACTTGGCCACACAGACCTATTTGGAGGACCCGATTTGGGACAGACTGCAACAGAGCATGGAATACTGCATCATTCAAGGATTGCAGTCTCCTGCCCTTGCAGAAACTCCTAGAAGGGTATCCCATTGACAAAGTTCCGCTTGCTGTCCATGTCCCCGTGAACCCAGAAAGCGCTGTTCTAGAAGGGGCTTTCGCAGGAGTGCCACGCCAACGTCATGTCAGCGTAGAGTCAGGAATTCGCCTAATTGGCCCAGAAGCGTGGCACTCATGCGGTCAGCTCCGAATTGTCAAGCTGCCGTCCACAGTCGTTAGCATCTCTGACCAGCTGCACCAAGTTTGGGCATTGCCTCTTCAGAGGCTGCATCAACCTTGCCGACTTTACCCTGCAAGAGAGTCCCTCTTTGCCATTTGCCCAGACATGCGATGGCCACCATGGCTACACATGATTCCGGACACAGGGTATGTCTCTGGTTCAGCCTGAACTGCCCCTGTCTAAATGTAACAGCGTGTGGTTATCCCACAATCCATCCAGGCTGGGCGTGAGCCTTGGCTCGAGTCCGGCCAGGTCAACTTACGCCCTTGCGCGCGGCACAAGCCATGGCTCACTGGCCTGTGGTGGGTCTGGCCCTGCACTTTTCGACTCTCAGGCAGGTCTGGTGGGAAAAGTCCTGTGTGAGGTGACTTGTGCAAAACCTGCACACACAGCGCCTCCACTCGTGCAAAAAAAAAAAGGTGGGAAAAGTCCTGTGGTGGGAAGTAAGCTCTGGTGGTGCCTGCCCACCTGTTTTCCAACGCTTCTCTATCTTCCAAATTGTTCTCTCCAAAAGCTCTGCTTGACAAGGCTGTGCTTCCCGGCCACTCCTGCTCCACCAGGCGGACCTGTGTGGGCTTGGTGCCTTCACTTTTGGACCTGGGCTTGACTGGACCTGTGTGGGCTTCATTGCTTTCACCTGACCTGTGTGGCCCTCAAGAGGCCTTGAAAAAAACACCGTGTCAGGCCATTTGCTGTCTGTTCCTGTGCGCAGCCTTTTCCTTTGAGAGGCCTTTTTTTCCACGAGTGCGGACGCCATGTGGGCGGGGTGCCCAGGTCATCTTTGAAGGGGAAGGAAACACAACATGATGAGGGGAAAAGAACACAAGCAACCCCAAACCAAACAACAACACCAAACAAAAACCAAGCAAGCACCAAACCACAAGGCCAGAGGCCGTTTCCCCTCATCTAAAAGTGTTTCCTCTGTACTAGGGTGAAGCATGTGAGAAAGACTACGAACTAACTATGGGCCTGAATTCACTATGAAAGTCGGATGGCATGATCGGCGCATGAGTGGAGTGCAGCAAAGCCTATCAAAGGGGCATCGCCCCACCCACCAAGCTGTGACCAAGGGGGCCACTGCATCGAATGGCCAAAGACTATGATCAGGCACTCAGCAATACCTGCATTGTTTCTTGTCAGCTAATCTGATCCTTGCCCAGGGGAGTCAGTGATTGCTCTGCCTAACAAGCTGAGGAAAAAGCCCATCCCGTCACGCAACCCATTCAACTGATTGCACGACAGAGACGAGAGGCATGTCAATTGTCAGGCAGTGGAGGCAGAGTAAACGAAAGGGATTTATTGACGATGGTGATGCCACCCCCCCCCGC